AGAGATTTATATATACCAACGATTATGATATTGTTATTATTATTGATGTTTTCTTTAGTATGGGTTTTTATGGAGTACAAGAGGACTAGTACTCACCGCCATTGTGTTTTTCAGATGACAGGGTCGGCGGGCAGGCACGAGATCAGCTGTGGTGGTTGTGGTCGCGGACTCGGCTCAACTAGCCGTTTTGTGGACATTTGTTTATCCAGTCTGAATAACTATTATGCCACGCATTTTAAGACTTCCGCAATGTTTTTTTTCAGTTTCGAACGTGCATATTAGTATTTTTAAACTTAAAGATTTTACCCAGTTCGCCAGTATGAACGGGTCCAGTTTTACATGCTTGGTTAGATAAAAGATTTAAATCTATTTTTCTTTATGTCTAAACTGGTAGTTAGATCAAGTTTTAAAGAAAACGGATTTTCAAGGCAGATAAGTTTTAGCAGTATCCCGAGTTAGTTGCAAATGATTTCGAACAATTTATAAGCGCTTCTGAAAGAAAAGTTGCGAAAAATTTACTCTGATAAGCGGTGTGTTGCAGTTTGGCCTGAAGCCGACCTGAGCTTATACCAACAACGTTTCAGGGTGACAAGGTTCCATGTTTTGAACTCGGTCGTTAAACTGAGCAACATAGTTCTTCAGCCTTTCTTCGGCTCCCTGGACAACGTTGGTGATAGAGTCTTTTGGAATCATGCATACTTAGGAGTCGATGAAGTGCGATTGAAAGTGTTGTAGTTTATTTTACCGGAGTAGAATCAAAAGATTCGAACACCGGGTCGTGTTCTCAAGGAAGGTTAGCCGGACTATTTTGTACGTTTACTCGATCACAAAAACGAAAATAATCCTACACACTCTAATTCAAGTTTGTTGGTTTGATTTTTACTTAATAATTCTTATCTAGAACAATTTAAAATCACAACTTAAGAAAATAATTCAAAGAGATATAAATGAGCTAAAATGATGAATATAATTCCAAGAGATGTAAATAACTAGGATATTGGGGACAATCGTCTTCGGTTTTACATAAATATGACGACAATCAATTACTCAGTTAAAAGGTTCGATTAACCAACTCATTTAGCGGTTTTACCTCAGTAACTCTCATAATATGCGGAAAAACACCAATGAGTGAATTAACGAGACGATTAACACATAAACAATACGTTTCTGAACATGTCTACTCTAAACGAGTCAAGTTCTACCAATTCCGCTCCTCCCGATTTTGAAATCGATTATTTAGATTAAAATGGTGATCAAGCATTGAATCGTGAAATAAGTAAAACTCGTAAAGATTGAGTAATTGATATACACATAAGTAAGAATAAACCGATATCCCCTAACCCTAGCTAGAAGATTAGATGTTCATAATAAGTTTTACATAATCATTCACATTAAAACAAGCCATCTTTAACATAGGTAAAATGAAATAGATAACTTACTTGTAATGAGAAATCCACAAGAGAAAATGCAAACTTAATCCAAGTACAACAATGTCTTCAATACAAACCACAATACAAACTTAGGAAAAACTTAGGAAATTCTTGAAGAAGAACTATGAATCGAAGTGTTGGATGGTTATACATTGTAATGGAGAGTATTTATAGTGTTCAACCCCCAAATTTCAGATGTGAGTGCCCAAAAATCGCCACTATCATCCACCAAGGAGAAAAAGAGGAAAAAAGCCACAAAAACAGCAAAATCTAGGTCTCGCGGCCCACGGAGGAACTCGCGGCCCACGACGAGATGATCTCGCGGCCGCGACATGCTCCGCGGCCCGCGATGAAGGTAACTTCGCGGCCACGACTTGTCCCGCGGCCACGACTTCAGCGAGCAGAAAATTTTGTATTTTGGTTCGCGCCCCGTGACATTCCTCGCTGCCCGCGACCCACCTCTCGCGGACCGCGACTTGTCTCGCGGCCAGTGACGATGTAAATTTCCCAATTCCTTATTCAGGCTCGTATGCGCTCATCCGGACTCGGAATTGACTTCCGTTTTTTGCTACCTATCGCCTATGAACTCCTGTATTCATTTATGCCTTCAAAACAATTTTTCCTTGGAAAGAGTACTCGCCCGACTTCCAACCTACCATCAAAAACGACACAACACGAAACATAAAACGGGAAAAAATACACGAAAAGCTCACAAAGACTCATATGAGAAGAAAACACATACTCAAACAATAAACGAACAAAAAATGAAAGAAACTACCTAAAATGGGGAAAAAAAAAAGATAAAATAAGCACGAAAAACATAACAAAAATGGGACAAACAGAAAGGCCGATCTGAGTTCGCCCCAGGTCGTAATCGCGTCGGGGTACAGGGGGTGGTACCAGCTTTGCGCCCTGGCCCCAGGGTGAGAGAGAACATGCGGCATCTGAGGTTATCTCTGGCCCCGTGTAGGTCCATCCACGATATGTACAAGCAGATGTGTGCATCTGGATCCAAAGGTCTGTCATAGAGTTCGATTTGGGGTATCTTGATTTTGTCCGGCAGTGGGCAGTACAGGATGTCGGACGACAGTGGTGATGCTGGGTCTATCACCCGATCGTCGGGGAACAGTGGGTGTGGTGGTGATGCCCCTGCCCGCGTCGCTGTTGGGTTTCAAGTTCAACTCCTCTTTCTGAGGATCACAACGTTATCTGCCTCGCGTCTGGCGAATCGATCCTTTTGTATTTTTTTTCGGAGGTCTAGTTCGACTCCTCTTTCCTCGAGGTGGCTGAAGATGGATGGATTTAAGGAGTCTCCCCTACGTCGTGGGGTGAATCGGCTTTCGCTAGTTTGTTCCATTCGCGAAGGATCCACTGTCTTCTTCTTCCGTGTTTTCGCTGTGTCGTTTTGGATGACAACTATGACCTTGGGCTGCAACTGGCATTTTTCTTTATTTCTGGCAGGGTTTACGCCCTTCTTTGCTGGGTTTTGAGCAGGTACCCCGTCGGCGGGGGTGGTGCGTGTGATGATGACGGCAAAATATATGGCACGAGGTTTGTCATCCCTTTCAAGAACTCGGGGTTTTAGAACATCGCCGTAAAGTCTATGGTGGGAGTCGCTGCAGTCAGTTGTGCGTTAACAAGTTCGATAGGGAAATTTCCTCTGATATTTTTCCCAGAAAATGAAAATAGGTTATTTCATTAAGGATGTTTCCATCTGATATTTTTGTCGGAAAATGAAAATATGTTTTCCTGATGTGCGTTAACAAGTTAAAAAATTGACTCCAAACAAATTATAGAGACCTACTTCTAGCGCAAAACTGTTGATATGTGATTTGTACCAACGGTTAATCTAGAACCAATTGAGTGATTGGGAAGATAATCTCAGATTAAGAGAGGGTTGATGAGGGTTATAGATGTGAATCGAAGTTGGCGACTAGATATTTCTAGGTCGGACCTTTAGGAGGTGTTACCTGAATTTATTGCGAAAGATTGTTTTTATACAGTTTTTGATGTTTTTTGTTCTCTCTCTCAACCTCTCCCACTGCCACAAATGAAACCTAGCTAAGACTATTTATAGCTAAACATTCTTGGCCACCACTCTTTTGCTGCTCACTGAGCCATATTGCAAAGTGAACCGGAATGACAGTCATTTAATGAGGCGTGGTTGACTCTAAATGATGATCATCAACCATTTAATGCTGATTGACGGGCCCTTACCGAGGACACGCCACTATAGGGACCCATGGGTCGTTAGCCTGCAGAGTTGGTGGAGACATCCCATCGGTCATCATTAAACTGCAAGTGGCTTTATTTTATTATTTCTCGAGGTTGAGTGTGTAATGCCCCGTTTGACTATGGAATTTTTGAGGATTATTTATTTATTATTATTATTATTATTATTATTGTCATTATTATTATTATTATTATTATTATTATTATTATTATTATTATTATTATTTATATTTATGTGGTATTATATTGAATGCTATAAATAATTAATTGTTGTATGTGATTTAATTGTCAAATTGCTTAATTGTCTAAATATTGGATTAATTGTCTAATTGTCTAAGTGTTATTAATTAATTAAATTGTGTATTTGTAATTTTACTAATATTATTATTATTTTAAAATTTTAATTATGTGTATTTTAAATATATATAATATCCGGTTTATTTATTTGTGCGATTAAATTTATCCAGCCCGAGAAAACTGTATTATTTCTACGTAGTCGGGCCCGAGGGCCGATTCGTTTTATCGAACCGAAACCCGCGAGCCCGATGAAACCGGCCCATGCGTAAATCGGCCCGCTAGTGTGTGTGTGTATGTGTCTTATTGGGCAAGACATTAAAAACCTAATATGTAAGTGTATATATATATATAGGACGGATCCAATGAGACCACTCCTTAAAATGAGTACGTGAGACTCAATCTTAGCCACTCATTTTGTCTAGATCAAAATCAATTAAAATATAAATTAATTAAATAATAAAATAAATATTAGTTGACTCTGGCGTTGACCGTTGACTTCCAGCGTTGACTTCCGGCGAAAATCATTGGCTTCCGATGAAAATCGTTGACTTCCGGCGTTGACCAGTTGACAAATAACCTAGCAGCAAGAAATAAATAACCTAGGAACAAAAGACACTCATCCTTGAGTGGTGTAGTGGTTCCATTGCTTGTCTTGTTTCCATGAGGTATTAGGTTCAAATCCTATGGGTCACAATTTTTTTTTAAAAAAAAAACAACTAACCTAGCAACAAAACACAACTAACCTAGCAGCTACAGATAACTAACATAGCAACAAAAGACAACTAATTAGCAGCAAGAAAGAAATAACCTAGCAACTTAAGACAACTAACCTAGCAACAAATCTCAACTAACCTAGCAGAAAGAAATAAATAACCTAGCAACAACAGACAACTAACCTAGCAACAAAACACAACTAACCTAGCAATAAAACACAACTAACCTAGCAGCAAGAAAGAACTAACCTAGCAACAAAAGACAATCTGTCTCTCGAACCATCTTCACAATCTCCACTCTTGTTTTTCAAGGAGCTGCAAAACTCTCATGGCGCTGCCGAATCAGCAAACGGTGGAGTACCCGAGCTTCAAGCTTGTGATTGTCGGCGATGGCGGCACTGGGAAAACCACATTTGTGAAAAGGCATCTCACGGGCGAATTTGAGAAGAAATACGAACCTACCATTGGTGTCGAGGTTCATCCATTGGATTTCTTCACTAACTGCGGGAAAATCAGATTTTACTGCTGGGACACAGCTGGTCAGGAGAAATTTGGTGGCCTTAGAGACGGTTACTATATCCATGGACAATGCGCAATTATTATGTTTGATGTGACAGCTAGATTGACTTACAAGAATGTCCCGACATGGCATCGCGATCTTTGCCGTGTTTGTGAGAACATCCCAATTGTGCTCTGTGGGAACAAGGTTGATGTGAAGAACAGGCAGGTGAAGGGAAACAAGTTACCTTCCACCGCAAGAAGAATTTGCAGTACTACGAAATATCGGCAAAGAGTAATTACAACTTCGAGAAGCCCTTCTTGTACCTTGCTAGGAAACTTGCTGGGGATCCTAACTTGCACTTTGTTGAGTCTCCTGCTCTTGCCCCACCTGAAGTTCATATTGATTTGGCTGCTCAACAACAGCACGAGGCTGAACTTGCAGCAGCAGCTAGCCAACCTCTTCCAGATGACGATGACGATGCTTTTGATTAAACAGATATACTCAAAAGCTTTGATTTCTCTCATGTGTTTCTTTTGTGCCTTGCCGAATTTTTCGCGTGTTTTATGGGATTTGAGGGGTTTTCTTCCACCCCATTTTTTTTATATTTGAGTTTTTGTTTTTATAACTTGTAGTTTGTGATGGTTGTTGTTGTGCCTTCAACTGCTCTTGGATTGTGATAGACTTTGTTGAAGATGTTTTTGATCTTCAGAATGTTCCTTGCAAGTATTTCTTCATGTTGCCTTTTGATGTGATGTAGACCGTATAAACAACCCATATATCTTTTGTGTTTTGATTCTTTTCTTTGTCATTTTACTTGCTTTTGCATGGTCTGCAATATCATAATTGATAAAATTAAATACTAATAGTAATATAACTTGATATTCAATTGAAAGAACAAGCCTTAAAGCTATGATGTTTTTTATATTTCATCTAATACATTTTAATTACCAGATATATTCATCTAATACATCAAAGTATTGAAACAAGTATCTTTCGTTAAAGTAATGAATATGAAGTGTTTGAACCCCAACTTTTTATCATTTGTTTTGATATAGCACATAAGAGTAACTTGGTTAGACCGGATAATATTACGGGTTGAGGATAGCTCATCCTTACTAAGGGTTCATCATATACAAGTAGCTCATTTGGAGGACCTGCATGAAGAGAGCTCGGCTAAGTGGTAGCTCGGCTGTTGATAGCACTTGTGGATATAGAGGGCTCGGCTAAGTAGTAGCTCGACCTTTGGTAAGACTTATGAGTGTATAGAGCTTGGCTCAGTAGTAGCTCGGCCTAGTCACAAAACCCAGGGTTGGACTCTCTCGATTTTATGCACTCCAGAACATATATTTCTCTTAGATTTTCATAGGAATTGATCTTGGATTGTGGAAACACCAAGTTTAAGCTTGTGGATTCGGTTATTCGTGTATTCAACATTGGATTCCTTAATCGTAAGCTTTCATTTCGTTTTCTTATTGATTGAATGGCTTTGATTATTGTATTTGTTGGAGTTGAATGCATTATGAGTAGCTAAATCCTTTAGCTAGGGTTAGGGGAAGATCGTTCTGGTTTGATTTCGTTTATATGCATGATAATTGCTCAATCCTCTCGAGTTGTGCTTAGCCTAGGGTTTTGATGATTGATCACCATCTTAATCTATTTAATCGATTTTAAAACTGAAAAGGGAGAAATCGTTCGATCTAGGCTCGTTAGGAATAAGCTTGTTCGTAATAGTATTGCTTATGTGTTGATTGCTTCAAGAATTGCTTATTAATGCCTATCCTCTTGTTACGAAGAGTTATTGAGGATAGACCTCTAGGTGAGTAGTTTAGCGAAGCATTCAACCGAGCTCTTGATTGCTCGTTAAGTGTATTGAGAACCGAAATTGATCGACCCCGATACCCTAGCTCCTTTATCATATATTGAGTTTGTGATTCCTAGTTTTGTCTGCCCTGTTCAATTACTTGCTTTTCAAATTAGTAGACGATAAACAAACCTCCAAACTTGATTTAGAATGTTTAGGATTTTCACTTCTTTTATTTTCCATTTTTGTGCTTGAATAATCGTACAAAATCATCCGGCTGACCTTCCTCGAGAGACATGACCCGGTGTCGAATCTTTGATTTAACTCCGGTAAAAAATACTACAACAAAATGGCGCCGTTGCCGGGGAAGGTTTAGGACTTATTTTGTGCGCCTATTCATTTTGTTTTCAGTATTTCTCTTATTTTTGTGATTTCTTGTTTTGTGTGTTTCTCTTTGTTTCGTTTTTCTTTGTCTCTTTCCTATCTATCTGGTGCTCGTGACATTTTTGTTGTTTTTGTTTATGCGTACCAGAAGTGGTCTTGTGATCATCCCGAATAACGAATCCATCCAGAGGGACCTCCAAGAACTGTTGGCTAACCTTGCCCCTGAATCTTCAGACTCAGCCAACCGAGACTCAGATAACACAAGAGACATGGCTGACGAGGAAGTAAACAACCCACCTCGTCATCTTCTTCGTGAATTGGCTCAACCGATAATCGGGCCAGTAACTTCGTGTATCCGGCTGGGACAAGCAGCTCGAAACTATGAGCTAAAAACCATCCACTACAATCGGCTGCCATCTTTCCATGGTCTACCCAACGAGGACCCACTCCATTTCATTCGGGAGTTCTATAACATCCTCCCGAAGATGAGATGTTTCCCAAAGACCAGTTGAAGATGAGATGTTTCCCAAAGACACTCAAAGACCGGGCCAAAGCTTGGTTTATGACACTTGCTCCCGACTCCCTCATTACTTGGGAGCAAGTGTACACCAAGTTCATTGGAAAATACTACTCTCACCAGAAGACACAAGAGTTCCGGTCTCAAATCGTCTCTTTTGCCCAACAACCGAACGAGCCACTTCATGAAGCATGGGAGCGTTTCAAAGACCTCCAGAGACAGTGCCCACATCACAATTTCCCTCCGGCTCTACTGGTGAACAGTTTCTATGACTCCCTTCATCAGAATCTTCAATACATGGTGGATAATGCAGCTGGTGGAGATATTGGGGCAATGACGGCAGAAGAGATGATAGATATTTTTGAGGCGATGAGTTCTAACTCGTCTCAAAAGAGCAGTCGAGGGAAGAGGTCTTTTGTGAATGAAGTATCTCCAGGACGAGACATGATGGCACAACAGCTAGCCGAGCTCACAGAGCAGATGCGGCTACTGAATGCAAGGGGAGGCCAACCAGTACAGACCATGGCCGTAGAAGCGTGTGGAGCATGTGGAGTACAAGGGCACAGGTCGGAGGTGTGCCCATCAGCTTTCGATCAAGATTTTGGGGAACAATATGAAGATGTAAATGCTCTTCAAGGCTACCAGAACCGACCTGCCAACGACCCGTACTCAAACACGTATAACCCGGGGTGGAGAAATCACCCAAATCTCTCGTGGTCTAACAACAACAACAACATCCAGCAGCCTCCTCGGCAGAACTTCATGCAGCAACAGCTCCGACTCACCTTCATTCCCCAACAGCAGATGAGGCCAAACTACCCTCAACAGCAGCATCAGCAACAGCAGAGGAGTCCAATGGGAGGAATGCAAGCACAAGGGGCCGGACCCAGTGCAGCTAACCAAGACGACAAGCTGGACAAGATTCTCCAGTTTATGGCAAACAGTGAGCAAAAGGGCGTGAACACTGATGCTTCTATCAAACGCTTGGAAACACAGTTGGGCCAGCTAGCTACAAGAGTTGGGGACATGGAGGCAGACTCAGACAAGAGGAAGCTACCCAGCTAACCCAAGGAAGCCAAGGCAATCACGGTTTTGAGAAGCGGGAAAGAGGTAGACAACCATGTGAAAATGCCCGAGCCTGATGACCTTACACCAACCGACCAGCCCAAAAGAGTAAAGGAGAGCCTGAAGAAGAATACAGAAGCTGAGCCAAGGAAGCAGACAGACGGCCCAATGTTACACAAGTCACCAAACCCTTTCAAACCAAGCATACCCTTCCCAAGCCGACTCCGGGACGAGAAGCAGGAGCAGCAATTTCGGGACCTATACAACATGCTCTCGAAAGTCAACGTCAACCTGCCACTCCTGGACGTGATCAAGAGTATGCCCTCGTACGTGAAGTTCTTCAAGGACTTGGTGACGAAGAAGAGGAAATTCGGAGACGGGGAGAAGGTAGTGGTTTACGAGGCTGCAAGTGCTATGCAGCATGACCTTCCAAAGAAAGAACGAGATCCCGTAGGCTTCGTGATTCAAATAGCCCTCGAAAACGGAAAAGAAGCTTCGGGGATGCTTGACCTCGGAGCGGGAATCAACCTTATGCCGTTCTCGATCTTTCAGCGGTTGGGTCTCGGTGACTTGAGACCAACCCGTATGTGCCTCCAGCTGGCTGACCGTTCGATCAGATACCCCAAGGGGGTAGTTGAGGATGTCCTTGCTTGTGTCGGGAAGCTCATTGTCCCGGTAGATTTTGTCGTTTTGGATGTGGGGGATGTGCACGAAAACAGGAAGGATCACACTATCCTTCTCGGCAGACCGTTTATGGCCACCACCAACACTCTCATTGATGTCAAGAACGGGACCTTGAACATGACTGTCTTAGGCGAATCCGTATCTATCTCAGTCCGGGAAGCCACATCTGCATCTTCAGTTAACTTTGTGGAGGAGTGTGCCTTCGTTGATGTAGCAGATTCGTTCGTGGGAGAGATGACCGTACGAGACCTGGAGGAAAGGTCATTACCTGATCTTGATGAGGGAGAAGAGCCAACCATCGAGCTCTTTGTAGCAGGCGAGCCCGGCAAACCGAACCCACCCACACTAGAGCTTAAAGAACTTCCTCGCCACCTCAAATATGTATTCCTCAACGATGAGAAGCAAAAATCGGTTATCATCTTTGCTGAGCTTAACCGGGAAGAAGAGAATGAGCTGATTGAGGTACTTAAGAGGAACCAGAAGGCCATTGGCTGGAGCCTAGGAGACATTAAGGGCATCAGCCCTTCCACGTGCATGCACCGTATCATTCTGGAGGAGGGTGCTGAGCCTGTTCGGGACAGCCAATGGAGGCTCAACCCGAACATGATGGAGGTTGTGAAGAAGGAGGTGCTGAAGCTCTACTCCGAGGGACTCATCTATCCAGTGGCCGACAGCGAGTGGGTCAGCCCGATCCATGTGGTGCCTAAGCAAGGGGGCATCACCGTCATTGAGAACGAAAAGAAAGAGATGGTCCCCACCCGTATCACTACCGAGTGGAGAATGTGCATTGATTACCGGCGACTCAACGCCGTAACAAAGAAGGACCACTTTCCGTTGCCGTTCATTGATCAGATTCTCGACCGTCTCTCAGGCCACCAATTCTATTTGTTGTGACCATTTTTGTTGTATTTTTTGTTACTGTTTTATCTTTCTTTTTCCCTCGTTTTATGTCCTTTGGTGAGTTTTTAGTTCGTTTAGTGTTTTATTATGTGTTTAGTTCCATTGTGGTTTTCTTTGTGTTTTTCGTGTGTTTTTCTGGT